ACCCTAGTGAGAAATGTGCTAGGCCCATAATTTAAACTTTCTGGTTTTGTCCCTCTCCTCAAGATAACTGGCTAGTGCATCTGGATTCAGACAGAAGCATCTCTCAGTAATTGGATATTAACAGTCATGTGGCAATATATATATAGAAAAAGGGTCAGAAGGCAGGAGAAGAATGGAAATGATGTAACCCCTGGAAACGAGCCTCTTCCATGACTGGTACACAGTTTCCTCTAGTTTGTTGCTCAAGGACCCTGTATGGCTTTGTCATCTCCATCTGCTTTACTGGGTGTAATGGGAAGGATGTCGGTGGTTGATTTTGCACCTGAGTGGGCTCTTTGGATAGTGTTATGAGGAAGAGTGACCTTCAGCTGAAGTGAGTCAATGGTGTAGTCAGTGCTATGTCCTGTCTGGACTTGAGCTCTTCCTTGCTGCTGCCCTTCCTGAGGTACTCCCACAGCCACCAGGAATCGCAGTAAGTTGCTCTTTCAGAACAGTTCACTAGGTAGGGACATAGTTCTCCTTCATAAAGGGTGACAACATTTTCATTCCTCTCCATCACACTGTGTGCTGCCACTGACCTTAGGATGATGTTTTGCCAACAAAAGAAGAGCATATTGGCAAAGGCAGCACAGAGGAGGGACAAGGCAGAAGAAGGGTGAAGACTACTTATTACCATAGAAACCCAAAGGGGATCCTGATACTATACACTGAAATTTCCTTCTTCACTGCTGTCTGGGTGTTATTTCCCAATACAAAGAAGACCATCTTCTTCTGCATTTTAGAGATTTATCACCACAGCTGAGACCCCCGTCCTCTCCTCAATGTCTGTGTGAGTCTCAGGTTGGGGCAAGACAACATGATCAGTGAGGGTAAAAATTTGCTCTAAACATCACCCCCTGCCTCCTCCCCAAACAAACAAACAAAATTTATCTAGATACTTTGGAGGAACAAAGGGAAAAGGTGAAACAAGAAGGGGAACACAACAGAAGCCAATAGGAAGGACTTTCCTCTATCACTTCCCTTTCAAGGGGGGATACACTGAGGAGTCTAGTGTAGCAGGAGATATCATTCCTGGCAATAGCAACAGTGTTTGCAGAAGTTGAGATTGTAAATATTTGATTCCCCCCTCAACCTCCAGGAAGGCAGTAGGGATTTCCATTTTTATGCTGCTGTGAAGACTGTGCTATGAACACAGGTAGTGGGTCAGGGCTTGTCCTTCAGCCCTGACTGGCCTCTGCTGGGCTGCACCTCAGTCTGCCAGAGAAACAGACAGCAGAAAGACACTGGCTCACCTATGCTCCCTGTGCAGCCTCCTCTGGCTAGCATTGGACACAGGGCAGTGGGCTAGATGGACTATTGGTCTGACACAGCACGGGCCTCCATATGTCTTTCACTTATTCTTACTATTCAAAGTTTTCCTATGGTGAGATTTAGATGGAAAAAACCAGTGCTTCTAACTGCCTACACTTCATAGCATCTCTGTGATACTGTTTCTGTGTCAGCCAACTCAGACAAGCAATCAGAGTGCCTGGGGAGAAAGAATACTCCTTGGGGGGACAAAAAACCCAAACCCAACCAATTTAAAAACCACAAACCTTTAGTGTTTTCACTGCAAAAATCTTGGACCGAAGACATACTTCTCCATAAATTCTCATTGTCAAATATTTTTCTCATTTTCAATTTGATTCCTTGCTGTAATTCGTGCATCGATAAAGATGCTACTTTTAACAGTGATATTGAAAACTTACTGATATTTCTACTTCACTTTATAAAGGCTGATATGCCTAAAACAAGTCATTTCTCTTCCAGAGAATTAATGGCTCTCACAGAGTCAAACTGGACAGGACTGGACCATTACAATTAAACTGCTAAGATGTTATCCCACAGCAATGTTAAATGCCCTGTTCTAACTGGCAGGAAGGGATTCAAACTTCAGTTTGTTTCCTCACACATATGTATATATAACTAAATTGTCATCCACATTTCATAAAAAAAACACAGGGAAAAAATAATGAAATTTAGTATTAGGGTTTTTTTCCCAAACTTATCATGACAAAATCTGCCTCTCTTAGAGTAAAAGTTGGTTTTGAGCAAAATGCTCCAGTCCTGTTTCTGCAGCAATACTGTGAAAAAAAGAGCAACATTTAATTCAGTTAATTTTATGGGACAAATAGATGGAGACAATAACCACCAACAAAGCTCTCAGTCGTATCCAAATCAATCAGCAGCAAAATGACTTAGAACAAAGTGTTTCTGTTCTTAAGGGTTGAATTTGTTGGAGCTGTCTATCTGTTTAGGCAGAACAAACTAGTATGTTCATAAGTCCCCTATCCCTCCAAACCAAAAAAAAGCAGATGTTGTGAGCTTGAGAGCGAGAATAAACAGGAGACTAAATCAACAAGAATAAATATGGTACTATACACCTGCCCCAATTAGTACTTTATTTCAAATACATTAAATGTAAATATCGTTTTTCAATGTGATTTCATTTTACCAGAAGTGCCCTCATCACTGAGTTACAAAAGTGTTACTACACATCTTCCTGGCTCAAAGCATACTTGATTATTTTGTGAAATAGAAGTGACAGAGAGAATGTTGTTCTGACTCACTGTAATGTACAGGTTGGGGAAATTAATCATGGGCAATCAGGCTCAAATCCTTTTAGAGAGGGATGGAAATAGAAACCTACCCCTTCAGATGCTGATTATCTCTTGTGGTACTGTGTAAAGAAAACACAGTATGTATTTGTCTCTTGTAATATTTTAGGAACAGCCATACTGAAATGATCCTGTGTGCTAATATTTAATGTCAGAGACTATTTCTGAGAGTCCAATCGTTCTTCATTTCAGGAGCTTTTTGTTGGGTAAACAAAATATGTTTTGATCTTTATACACTTAAGAGGCAAGCAGAGCAAATTAAGCAGTTTAATAATAAACTACAGTTCAGAAATTAGAACAATTTCCTGTATCTTTCTTTTAAAATGTATCTTCAAAGTAATTTAAATAATGACATTTTTCTTTTTAATGATAATCTGTCTTCCCTTCACCCCAGCTCCCCATTGACCTGCAGCTCTGACATTTCTCCATTGGTTAAAATCTTTCTTGGACTTCATACCAGTTGCAGAACGTTAATTGATGATAACTTTTGTACACCGTTGCTCTTGGACAAAATTAAACTAAAAAAATAAAAGTTCTTAATCTCAATTAGAAGTAGAGTAGAAGCTCTCCTCAATAGAAATAATTACTTCCAATCACTCTAAATACACAAGAAAGCCTTTTTCAAAGTAATACAATAATATAAATAATAGTTCTGTTCTGATGCAGTCATTGTATTAAAATTTAAAATGAAATGTTTTAAACTAGTAACATAAAAGTAAAATTTTAATGAATGTTTATTTAATAGATTTCATGTATATATACATTTTCTATTTGATTATTTACTTTTACAGACCTTTGTGATTATTTTTTTACTCACTTTTGTGAAATAGATGGTGAGGATGGTGCAGAAAAACAATTCTGCCAATCTTGCTCTTTGTCATAGCAACGGATAATACATGATATTAGGTATGGTTCCTTTTCTTGAAGGCCAAGAGCTGTGGAGTGCTACATGTATCTATTAAGTGCTGTTCTTTTAAGTATTTTTTCTGAGGGACTGATAGAAAAATATGATCTTTGTGAATTCTGTCTGTATAATACCAAACGCAATGGATAGAAAACGATGCTACAATGTCTAAAGATGACCAAGATTTGAATTAACATCGTGTTGCACAAACTGCACTAGAGAATGTATAGTGATACGTGTTGATAAAAGAAAATGTATGGAAATGCTACCTGGTACATGCAATGTGTCCAGGGACTTGTACAACTTCTGATAGATGGTATAGGGTCTTAATGCATCTTTTTACTCTGGTAAATCTAGCCACAGGAAAGCTATGTTGCGCATTTTATGCTGCACATTTTTTGGTTTTGAGTTCTGTGTCTAAATTGCCAATATAGCAGTGCTCCACAAGAATAACGCAGTTCACAAGATCCTCAACAATGGACGTGACCAAGACATTTTCAGCTGAAGGAATCCATCTATTGAAAGATCTTGTAACACTGGAATAATCTTGCACATTACTCTACTCACACCCAGAATAGCAGAAATACCAACACCCATCGTTTCTTTACTTCATTTGTTGTTCTTTCCAGAAGCCTTTTGTGTCAGTTTTTTAAAATCTGACCAGAAAATTAAAAAACTGCAGGGACAGTTTGGGCAAAAGCTTAATGCAAGGCTTTGAGCAGAGCTCATCCATTTTAGTCACCAACGTTCAGATGGATATATTTACCTTCTCTAGCTTTACATATATTTAATTCAAAAAAACCCAAACAGATTAAACAACAGTCAACAAAAGTAAAATCAATTCAGATCACTCAGCAACATGGTGGGCATATTAGATTTCAGCAAAGGAGAGCTCAGGAACCTGCTCCAGATTAGGAAGAGATTAAATTTGAAAACTGATCTCCCACCTTAGAGACTTGCTCCTGAAAAGTCTCCTGCTTGGCCATTTTTGTGGGAGTCTGAAGCAATTTGCTACATTGTTAGTACAGATAGGTAGGTGGTGGCCTGATTTGAGAGTGGACATGTCAAAACGCCATTTGTCAAAGTCATAACACTTTTATGTGGTCACAAATCATACAGCCATAAACCAAATGCAAAGGGCACAGTCACAGAGTGTAAAAAGTTTGCTGACAAATTAATTGATAACAAAAAATCAATTTCAATGAGGTCTATCTCTTTTTGCATTATCATTTATTTTATTGAATCTAAAACTTGCATTATCATATATTAAGGTCTTCAATTTGACAAAGACCAAATATGATCAAGTGCTTTCAAAAGGTATGACGAATACTCAAAAAGACGGAAAGTGATATTTTATCTGTACACAGAATAAATGGCTTGGTATGACACATACTCTTTACTAGGTGATAATGGTAAGCTGTACCTCAATGCTTGCCACCAGTGCGCTTGTAGCAAATGGGGGTAGAGCCCTCCCCAAATCTTCGTTCACGAAGCCTAGCCATGATGATTGATGATGATTCACCTCAATGCTACAGAGTCTAGGTCTTGGCCTCCAGAGGTCTAGAGAAGATAGAAGCAAGATGTAGCTAGACAAAAGTAATGAGCATTACAAAAATCCAGATCTGATGTGTAGACTCCAGGAAGTCCTAATGTTTTGTTTCCTTCCTGTTTCTTCAAACTCTTTTGCATGGACAGGATGTTAGTATGGCTCATTCTTCTGTACCCGAAATGATAGGTGTTAAGTCATCTTAGCACATAAACATGGAAAAAACTTGCATCTAGTTTGTGTATCCAGCTGCACAGTGGCATTTTACCTCACACAGTTTTGCTATAAAAAAAAGTTTAGTGCCCAGTACTTGGGTGCAGAAGCCCACTTCCCAGCAACACAGGGAAAAAAGTCATAAAGATCAACGATTACAGAGCATAACACTTTTTGCATATCACAGAGTATAAGTACCTATAGCATCCCGCACTTAGTTCCAAAGTATTTAGGGAAGTTATAACCAAAACTGAGAGAGTATAAGAAGAAGCAGTGTGTTACTTTGCATGGCATTGTTTCTCTTGGGCCCATGAAATTTGGAAGCATTTATAGAGCCGGCCTGAAGCCAGCTGGATTCTGATGCATTTTAACCTCAGCGTCTCAGTTTTTGAAAATGAAAATACAGAGAACCTTTGCAAGCTGCTACAGCAGTCCTGTGAAGACTGGAAGCTGGTCAATTCTGAAGTTAGCTCAATGTAACAAATTATACTAAGTAAATGAAATGTTGTCCTGATTAGCTTGCATAAAAATTTCAGGCTAGAAGACTTTGATACAATGAAAAGTATATATCTGATGCCTATTCTTGCCTGGCAAAGAAATGAGTGGTTACAAGGTTTTGAATTCTCCTTTGTAAAGAGAAGTCTCATGTGGCTGGTCTGAATCCACAATAAAATTCCTGTCCTGATACCTCCAACCATATCCACATGTTCTGGACTTTTGCGGAGCTCACAGCTTTTTCTCTTTGCTGTGTCTCAGCAGGAGCAGGCCAGCTTAGCATCCTCTTGCCAGCTGCCAAGGATGGAGGCGGCCGCGGACGGGGCCCCCCTCAACCTTTTCTGGGCAATAGCTTTTGCAGGACCGAGGCCAGCTTCTGGCTGAGGCTGCGGTCCCAGCCAGCCCTTGCAGCCCGCGGGACTCGAGGCATCGATCTCCCCGGGAGCTGGTGCTGGCTCCGCCGCCCCGGGGGCGAGGACGGGCTGCGCGGATGCCCGGGAGCGGGTGCGGGGGCCGGGGCGGGCGCGCTGCCCGGAGCGCGGCGCGTCCCGCCCCGCGGGTGCCGGGGAGGGGTGTCCGCCCCACGTCACCGCCGCCCGCGATAAATGCCCGGCGGGGCGGGAGCTGCGAGGAGAGGCGCGGTGCTCTTCGGAGCGGCGGTGGCGACGACCCAGAGGCCAGCGGGGGAGGCGGCGGCTGAGCGCAGCGGCAGCCCCTCGCCGCGGCTCCGCTGCTGGACACGTCCTTGACCGCCGCGCCGCTCCCGCCTCAGCGAGCGGGGCGAGGCCGTGCCCGCGCCCCCCGGCCCCGGCTCAACGCGGGCGTGGCGAGGAGGCGGGCGGCGGAGCGAAGCTGGCTGCGGGGAGAGCAGGCAGCCGCCGCCGGAGGGGTAAGGGCACTGGCGGGGGGCAGCATCCTCCCCGCAGCATCCTCCCCACGGCGGCGGGAGGGCGGGGGGCTGCGGCAGGCAGACCCCGGGGCCATGGGGCGCTCCGGTCCCAGGAGAGCGGGGCCGGTGCCGCCGGGTGCGGGCGGTGGCGGCGCGCTGGGGAGAGCCCGGTCCTGCCCGTCCGCCTCTTTTTGTTCCTCTCCCAGCGGCTGGGTCCTGTGTGGCGGGATTCGCGCGTGCTCGCCCAGGGTGTAGGAATGACCGCGGCTTTCCTACCTAAAGCATTCAGTTACCTAGTAGGCGGTGTTGGGATACTGTATTCTTGGAGGTGGTGCTACTTTTTCTGATTGTTTCCAGTGCTTTCCTTTGTTTAGGGAACAGAATAACCCCATCTTCCCCCATTTTCTTGTCCGAGTTGAATACCTTTAGTTTCATCACGTATTTTTTTGAAATCATAGAACAAAAGCTTTAATCAAAGTCATATTCGAAATGCACCAAGAGGGGCTATTTTATATCAACTTTATTGTGGATTTCAAGTTTACACTTTGGTGATGAATGCAAGCCTTAAACTTCTTTCGTTCTTAAATTCCAATTTTGAGAGACCTTATCTGCAGTCTAATATTCATTGATGTCTGGCTCCTTCAAAGTAAATAAGAAAAGCATGCTTTTTGCATTCAGGCACTGAAATGGGCACGCCAGTGTAATATATAAAACCGCTTGAACAGAATGAGGTTCATAAGGTTGAAGATAACCTATCTTTCTGAATCAAGAGTGTGTACTTATTAGAGTAAAAAAAAGTAGCATCCTGCTTTCTCCCCCTAAAATAACAGTGACAAACTCTGTACGAACTACAGGGTTTTTTTCTTTGTAAGTTCATACAGGCCAGTCCTTCAGTCTACAAATTACATTACTCTCTCTTATGTATTTACAGCCAACAGACGTGGAAGAAAGACTTTGTCTTGGAGCTAACTCCTGAGCATTTTTGAGATTATTCATCATGAAGTATGTAGTACAGGAATGGCTCAGAGTAACTATCTTGCTATTCATAGCTCAAGCAATTTCTGCAATGATTCTTCCCAATGCCACGCTCTTAGAGGAACTTTTGGAAAAGTACATGGATGAAGATGGTGAGTGGTGGATCGCCAAGCAGAGAGGGAAAAGGGCTATCACAGACAGTGATATGCAAAGTATCTTGGATCTTCATAATAAGTTACGGGGTCAGGTGTATCCACCAGCTTCCAATATGGAATATATGGTAAGGAAAAACTGATAGCGACATGCAGAAAGAATTGTTCTTAGTATAGTTACTATCACTTTATGAAACAGCATAATTTCAGTCTTAGTTTGCTTGTTTTCTCATTTAAAGCATGTATCACTTTTCTTTTTGTACAGAGATTAAATGTGAGATAAAAATGCATGTTTGTGGATCAAGTATCACGTTCTATTGATATTCATGCATTTAATCTCTCATAGCTCACTTAAGTTTAAGTAGCAGTTCCTCAGTGTTAGGGGCCAATTTCCAAAACTGTGGTACTCAAAATACTTGATTGTGATTGTGGCCTAAGTTACCATCTAAGAAGAGTACTGAACTATGAAGTTTCAAAATAACATATATTCTTTCCCATGCTTCTAGGTCAGATGGAATTTCTGAGCTAAATGAGAGTCTTATAACAAGAAAGTCTTCTATTTAAATTGGCATGTGTTACTGGAGTCCTACATGTTTCTGTGTTTAAGAGATTAATAATGTAATACATAATTTCTGTTTGTATTTTTTTCTTTAGGAAGCCTCTTTGGATTATTATTATTAGCATTAAGTCTCTCGTGTTTCTGAACTTTGATTTTATTCCATAGTTCAAGGCTAACTTTAGCTCTCCTTGCTAAGTAGATCAAATCAGGTCATGAGAGCTTTTAAGGAGTCCACAGTTTTGACAAGAATGGGCAATTTTACTCGCATCGGCATCTTTTTCCTATTTCCGTGTGGTGTATTATTTGTTTATCTATTCAAGCACCAGAAAAATAGCATTGCTATAGGGTTGGGTTGTTTATATCAAATATTACACAGGTTTCATGACACTTTCTGTGACAGAGGTTTGTATTAACACACTTCAAGATGTAGATATCTTTCCCAGTCTGCACATATCCTTAAACTTTGTTTCCTGTTGTGACTTTTTCAGACCTTGTTATAATAGAGGTTTACATTTTGTTCCCAGTAACTCAAGTTGATTGATTTCTGGAAAACTCAATAAAAAGCTGTTAAGCCTTTTTGTAAAATAAGAATAGGGGAGACTATTGTTTTCCCATGTTAAAAGACTGCAAAACCTTTTTCTCAAGATTATGTGAAAGCATAGCTATGATTTTCAGTTATGTACCTTTTTCCATTCCTAATGCCATTCCACGTTTGCCTGTCTTACATATCTTGAAAAGAAGAATTTGGATTTAGTCATCACTGAAGTAAGACTTTTGACAGCTCTATACTTCAAAGATTCCTCCTGCACTGCACACACTTTGGCTTAGACTCTGTTAGGTCTACATCTGGAACAAGTTTTTGTGGTTTTGTTGTTGTTTTTTCTGCGCTCTCCGATGACCCCTGAGCCAGAGTACAAGTAGCATGAAAAAGTGATTACCCAATTTTGATGTTGAGGATATTATTTAGAACAGGACAGCAGCTTTCAAGAGGGTGGGATTCAATTTTGGCATAATATCCAAGGGCATAAGGGGTTGGGTTAGGCAAGGGTTTGGGATATGTGAATGCGGAGGATCTGTGTGAAGGGTCAGGTCAGAGGAACTCATAGGAAGGGCATGGAGAGAGGCTAAGAGTCTGGTCAAGAAGGTTGAGAAATCAGAGTTATGGAGGAAAGGAGCACTTGATGAATAAACGTGGTTAGGGGAAGAACTGGGACTGTCTGTGTGGAGAAAATTTGGGATCAGAAGTTTGTGGAGGGAGGTTAAGAGGACAGAAATTTGCTAAGAGGCTATTTAAAAAGACTTAACCTGTGAATGAGTGGGGAGGGAGATTGTATCTGGAGGAAGCAGGAGAGAGTCAGTCTTGGGAACTGAGAGAGGACAGTGGGAGCCACCTCCTTCTTGAACAAAAGGAGTAAATGACAGGATTTCTGATTGTTTGCACATATATTTTTATTATACAGTTTGTGATTTTCCTTTCAATGTCTTACCAAAGGTGAATTTAAGTCCTCCAGAGCAGGGAAATAATCCCCCTAAATGTTTGCCTGATGTTTAGCAAACTAGATAAGTACAAATGAAACACTTTTGTCTACTTTTGGTGTGCTTTATTAGTATAGACATGCTGGCAAAAAAATCTCCTGCTATGGGCACAGTCCTGTCCCACTGTACTAGTAAAACTTCTCCTTATAAATACAGCTAGTTCTGCTTGGGGAAATGAAGTTTTATGTCTCACCGAATCTGAATGGAGATGGTCAAGGTCCAGGTGCCTCACTTGTACACCTGTGTCTCTATTAGTCTGTCGTATAGTTGAGAAGTTTAGGATCTCCACTCTCTGAGTGGAGCTGGGAGAAGGAATGTGGGGGCTATATGCTCTCATTGCACTGTTAGTCTATAACATCTAAGGTAACCTAACAGGTGGCTCTGACTGAAATGCTTCTGTCCTGCTCCTGCCAATAGAATGTACCAGAGTTGATTATGAGAGTGATCCAAGTACTTAAAGAATCAAGATTTTATATTTTAAAATTTACTTTTTTTTTCCATTCTGAGTCATGAAGCTGGTTCCATACATGGCTGAATCAGATGAGTTCAGTGCTATAAAAGTTGCTAGGAATGTATAGCTAAGAAATGGGAGGGATGGAGAATCACACTTAGGGTTGGACAATCAGCTATATGACTTAACTTGCAAAGTCCAGCCTTATCTTTAAGATGAGGTCTCTCTATTAAAAAAAAAATTAAAAGGTTGAATTACAGATTTACGCTCTTCCCATATGCCTTGAAGAAGAAAAGGGTACTGGGCTATCACAGTTGAAGACCTAAAGTTATTAGCTTCAGTACGATTCACAGTAGATAGGTCTAAAACATTCTTATGGTTGTCTGGCTGAACTTACTGGATGAAAAATTCATTTTCCCAAGTACTGTGGCTCTGGTGATGAGCAGTAGTGAATTCCTAGGGTAAAAGAATAAGAATAGAGCATGTCAACAGAGAAACTTCTGCAGTGAAACCCCCCAGCTTCCAGCAAACAGCAGCTTAGGGAATTCCTGACTCTGGTGACATACTTTTGTGTCAAATGGAATAGTCTCAGATGGAATTTTTGTGAATCTGAGTGCTTTTGAGTTCATTTAGTTCATTTGTATTCTTTGAATCCATAGCATCAAGTTGCAGAGCTCTATAAATTTAATTATGTACTGTGTGAAAAAGTACTTTTTCTTGTTTTTTTTTTCTTGAAACCTGTTCTTTTATGCCTTATTTTACTTTATTGTGAGAAATAATTTTCTCAGTGATCACATAGCTTTCTTTTGAAGAATCGTGCTTTCCTTGCTCGAAAACTGTTCTATCTGAAAAGCAGTTCCATTTTGTTTTCCTTCTCTATCTGCTATGGTTCTCCTGTTTTCCTTTTATTTCAAAGGAAACAAACCAAACTGTTGACAGTTATGGTATACTGCAAATTGATGTAGTTGTATTTATTTTCTTCACTTCCTAATAATTTCTAACATTCTCTTACTTTTTGACTGGCTGAATTAAAGCCAACATTTTTCATAGAGCTATTCACAATGACTTTAAGACCTTTCTAATGTGCTATGAGGTCATTTACTACACTACAGTGTATATATAGTTGGCTGTAACCTTCAGCTGTGTCCTTATTATTTCGTATGTGTTCACATTGAATGCTATCTATCATTTTGCTTCCAATTAGTATTAATGAATTTCCCATCTTTATCTTGTATTTTTCCTATCTTGTTTTTAACTATCTTAAGTAGTGAGTACTATCTTGCATTCCCTTTTCTGGGGCTATTGTGATCAAGGTATACAGCAGAGGACAATGGACACATCTTGAAGGGAATTTGAAAAGTTATTTTGTATTCTTAAATCTTTTTACTGTCATTTACCACTTTTTTCTTTATCCCATGATAGCTTAATTTGATTTGTTTATTAATTTTTAAATAACTTAGGAACTCTTGAAAATTTAACTGCATTTTAACCCTTTTCGACATTTTTTTGACACTTTCAAAGTCTAATATATTTGGGAAGAATTCGTATTATCTATGTATTTCAATATTGTTTTTTAACTTATCCTATGAAATTGTCCCAACAGAAGTCAGTTTTTTGGTCTGCAGTTTCTCAGGATCTGCTAGAAGCTTTCTAAAATACTAACACCCATGTACTGTTTTTTGTTACTGTGATAATGAGGCCATTTTAAGAGAGAGAGTGTACCACACAGTAATTAAGAAGTTTCATGATCAAGTTTTTCCAGATTCTTCAAGGATATTGTCTGCTCCTGGCAATTTGATGCTGTCAATATTTTCATTTTCAGCTAATGTTTAAGTCTCTTATGTGTCCTCTACCTCATCTTCTGTTTCTTTCTCTGTATAGAAGAATTCTGGTGAGAGATCCTGCGTAAGCTCATTTGTAGGGAACAGTAGTGCAACAAGTTCTGTTAACTCCTCTGCAGTGGCCTTATGACTGCATGTTAGATCATTTTTTCCTAGACCTCTTCCTTGAATGCTGAGAGAGTTTTTGGGTTGTGAACATTATGACTTAAATAGAAAAAAAATATTTCTTGAGGTTATGATGAACAGTTTGTTATGAAAATGCATGGCAGACATGTGCTGTATATTTGTTTGTCTGGATTGTTTCCTAGTAAAGAAAGGAGTAAGGAACATTTTCTTTTTGCTATGCATATTGATTTAACAGCACTGGAAAGAGAACAAGGAGGGATGACGTTTCCCTGCTGCCTTTCTAAAGCACCGAAACAGTACATAGCAGAATGTTGTGTGAATCATTATGCTTTCAACATTTCCCACCCTGGGCCATTGACACTGGCATGGCCTTCACGCCATGTATGCACTTGGAGCACATCTGTATGGAAGAGATACTTGAGCTAGTACTGAAAACTGCAGCTGACTGCTGCTGGCAGTGTTCAGTCTGACTAGATCAGGGAGCTGCTTTGGCTCTGATGTTCTGTGGCTGCTCAGGTGTCCCTCCTTGTTCCTCTCCTGTGTTGGAGCTGCCTGTGCCTGCCCAGCCTCCCTTGGCAAAGACCTGTCCTTTAAGGCAAAAATGGGAACCATTGTGCTTTGTCATATACTTGTCAATGGTTTGTTGTGGATTGATGTGGAAGGGTTCCCTTATTCCCTGTTATTCAGTTCAGGTAGAAAGGGATTTACTGCATATTAATAAATTCTTAGTAGATTGTAAAGTCTTAGTAATATTTGAAAAAAATGTTTTAGGCACCATAACCTACAATTTCCTAAACTCTTGATCTTTTTTTTTGGTTTTGTAAGCATTCTTTGTTTATCATGGATTGAAATTGGAAAACCTCTTCCCCCTCCCCCAATAATTTAATTGGTAACATTGCACCTTAATAAAAGTGAACCTATTAATGAAAACGTAGATCTCTTTTTCATGATCATTGCAATCAAGACTTTAAAAATGGTCATTATTTGGATAGTGAAAGTTGTTAATTCCTTTGTATTCCAAACAGTTATACTTTGCAAAATAAAAGGATCCACCAAGGATAAAACTTAAAAAGTAATTTTGATTAATGAGTTTAGAATGCTTTCTATTTTAAACCATTTTTTTCCTATTCATTCCTTGATTTCATGCGTGTTTTTCCAAACACAGGAGTAAGTAAAATAGCTCATGCAAGATCCTCATTTCATGCCTGTGGAATTTGCTGTACTTAAAAGTGTTTGGGTTCCCAGCTTGACAGATAGCAGAACATTTCAACCTGCTATTTCTTGGCACAGAGCCACAAACTGCATTTTGTAATTACTGTAATTGGAGAACATCAGTATCATCTAGGGATACTATCCTCTGCTTATTTAATTATTTCTAGTGTTCTGGGAAGATCTTCAGATAAATACATTGCAAAACCCATGTCTTGCTTCTGTAAAGTTTTATTTTGGAAGCCTTGTGAAGAAAATATAGTCTTCTATGAGTGCTTTTAAAAAAAATCAGATTAGAATATTTATTTGGTTCACAGAGTGGAAAAGTATATATTTATTCTTTTTGTTGGTATAATATCTCTGAAGCTGTTAGTTTCAAAACCTTGATAGTGATGTGTTGAATATAATTCCTTTCAAAACCATGACTGCCTTGTGACTTCTATGGGACCTTATATTTTGGAAGGCTTAAAGATTTGCCACTCCATTTCATTAAGTTCAGGAACACTTCAGAAGAAGAAAAGTAAGTAATTTGAGACCGTAAATATTTCTCATTTAGATTTTTCATAATATTTCTGCAGGCAAATTCCTGCTGTATTGAGATAGAAACCATTAAACTTTGGATCATTTGAACCCACTAATGGATAGAGCTCTTGAATGGATGATAGTAAAATGTTACTTATTGCGTTGTAGTGACTCAGTAGGGAGTAAAATAATTTTTTTTGCTATTTTGCGATGCTTTTAGATTCTATGATTTGTTTTAAGTCTGGAAGTAGCAGTTTCTCTATATATGTCTCTATAAGCTCCCAGCTGAGATTTTTTTGTCATATCCATTGTTCTTAGGAAAATTGAAACAGCGTTAGGAAATGTAATGGAAGACCTTTTAGTGGATGTAAAAGTTTTGGTGAATTTTTATGTTCTGAAGTACCCTGTTAAATTTCCTAGACCTTTCTGACAAAATGTTTGATGTCTCCATTTAGTGTACCTTATCCATCTTGCCAAAACTCTTCAGGGATGCTTGGTTAAAAACAATTCCTGTTCCTTCTTGAGCAGAGGACTTTGGTTTGTGGAATTCCTTAAGTGGCTGAAGAGCACGTTGGGTGCCAAGAACAGAGCAGCTCTATTCAGTGTGAACCTGCCTGCTTTCCCTCTAGTTTTCCACTTTTCTGCTCCACTTCAAAGATTGGTGGAAGTGCTTCAGCTCCTTTGCCTCTGCTCAAAGGCTACTGACACTGCATCAAAGAACAGAGTGACGTTGACTTATCCTCTTATTCTCTCTGGCAGTTTTTGCAAAGGATTGTGCAGTGTGAAGTGGCCAAGAAAAGAAGTGGATAAGTCCATGGTATGACTTTTATTGATGTAATGCCAACAACAACTAGGCAACTCCAAGTAAAGAAACTGAAAGTGGAAAGTAGCAGAAAGGCTCACTGTCTCAAAGTTTAAGGAAGCCTTCCCAAAATAAAATAATTAGCAACACAAGACAGACACTGTTCATCTTTTATTTTTGCTGTCAGAGAATTTCTTCAACCTCCATATCAAAAAAGCTCGTGGAATATTAATCGGTAACAGCAGAATCAAAGCTTAAATACAAAATGTAAACTGAACACAGATATCATCAATGAGATTTATAAAAGAAACTCCATGTAGTCTGTCATCTTCATGATATCTGCCTTGGAATTTTCCTTAACTTCTCACTTTATTGAAATACTATATATGAATTTATGCTGTTATCTGTAAATATAATCATCAACCTTAGTTTTGGCATAAGTAGAATGACTATGATAGAAAAAAGTGTGATTCATTAAGAAGACTATTCTCCGTCCTTATAGAGAAGGACAAATTTCACTTTATTATGAAACAAGAAAAGTTTCTCAAAATGAGGTTGTTAAATCCAAAATTTGGCTGCCTGATAGATATTACAATATATTTGTCCTGAATTCCCTGTTGGATTTTCAAATGATCAGGCGTTCCTTTAATACATTTTCAACTCTCTTTTTTTAGATTTTATTTGAACATATTTCTGACAGTAGTGCCAAGTCACATATGATCAATGGATGCTCTCTGGCAGCAAGTTCAATTCACTAATGTCAAATCACAGTGGTCATCTTTTAAAAGCATTTACTGTGACACATATTTGAGATACCGCAGCTAATTCCTGTTCAAAGCCCAGGAAATTCTGTAGCATCTCTAAACTGCTGTATGAAAGCAATCGGTTACAGCGAGTTTATCCTAGTAATCACTACCAGGATTTGAGGTAAGGACTTGTTCTCTGGTCAGTTTGTGATTAGCTATAAATATTTATGAATACTAGTTGTAATGAATGTGTGTAATTCATAATTTGACAATGGATAAACTAGAGAAATCAAGAGCAGCTTTTGTGCTGTTGATTCTCTTCCATTCCTATTAGAATATAGAAGTGAATAGATGATTTTTAGTCATGTTCTAATAGAAAGTCTTAATGCATTGCTTTTAAGAAGTAGCAAAGTAAATGCACTGTTTCAGAACACCTTGGAAAGCTGAATATTCCAGTGAGGTTTTTTTAACATGCTTAGAGTACACACAGAATTAAATGTGATTAGTCATGTCTACTGGTTCCTATTCCTGGTTTTACTTTTTGAACACAAAAAGCTCAAACACATGAAGCTGTAATAGGGACATATTTCTAAATATTGGTGCAATTTTTTCAGTGTTTGGGAACAATATTTTTGGCCTTATACTGCTTTCCTGTTTCCAGGCAAAAGCCACAGTTTTCCTGCTTTTTACTCTTTTCCAAAAGAGTAGCTGAAACCTCAAGGTCTATTCAGGGATCTCTGCCCAGTTTAAAGCTTTATAAACTCCAGTCTGCCACATGGTAGCATGTAGGTTCCTTACCATTTCTTTTCTACATAGGTAGAAGTTCTGCAGCAGAAAATGGATGTCTAACTTTATTGGCAGAGAAAAGTTGGGCAATTTTAGCTATTCTCTTTTTGTCCTTAAAGGACTCAGTTGAGTGCAAGTTACTTACTTTTCAGATGTGTTCATTATCACTAGTTTCCATGAACTTCCTTCAGCAGCTTTGTACTGATGAAAATACCTCACCTAAGCATGACTGAGAGACCAGCAGATGAAAACTGCCAATGTCTGTTTATTAAGAAGAGATCATGTTAAACCAATCTATTTTACTTTTTTAATGACCCACTAATTAACCAGAATAGTGTATCAGAAGGAATTAGTAATAATTAGTAATTAAATGTCATGTTTTGACTCTGGAAAGTTCTTGACACTCTCTTCCCCTGACATTTTTGTGACAGAAATTGACCAGAAGCTCCCTATTAAATAGGCAGAAGATTGAAGGTGCTGATGCTGTTGGAGCCCATTCATTTTTGGTTGAGCACTTGGGGTTTGACTTGTCTGAGCAAAGAATACACATGAAAACTGCAATATATCTGCATACATAATATATATGATATGGGCACAGCATGGTGTTGTTTCAGGGAACATGATCAAAATTAGAACCTGAAAAATAGAAGTCATGACCTGGAATCAACATGGTGAAGTTTAACTGCAAGATATGGAATAAGGAAGAAATCAAACAGGTAACATAGAAGGGATAAAATGTAGAGATAAAACTACAATAAAAAGATGCAGGAGTTGCACTGAATTTAAAAATAATATGAGGGAGCAATCTTTGAAAGGAGACTTCTGTGTGTGAAACTGGTGAGACCTTGCCTGAAATGCAATGTCTGTTTCTGGTAATTTTTTAAGAATGGTGTAGCCATTCTAGAGAGAATGAAAGAGATTAATGAGATTGATTATAAAGACAGAATATGTCTTTATGAAATGATTGAAGGAATGAAGCAGCTGAATTTCATTAATCTTGGAAATAAATAAAGGTTGTTAGAGGAAAGAGAGTGATTTCCTTTTTCTTGGCAATAAAAGATCAGCTAGCATTGTAGGGCAGGAGATTTACGTTGCATACCAAGGAAATCCTCTTTACTCTTACACTGATAAAACTCCAGAAGAAAATTACAGTAAATATTATTCTGAAAATACTGTTACTAATTTTAATTTATAAAAATGTGGATAATACACGTATATTTGGCTTAGTGGAAGAGTCTAGATAAACTACAGTCAGGATCAGTCTCCTGAAGTCATTTTCAACTGTACCTCTGTCATTCTGTGCTGATGCCATGCAGGTGATTTCTAGTTCTAACTGTATTTCTGGCATATTTGCTCATGGCATTTCTGAGTCTATGTTTCATCTTTCCTTTTTTTCCTTCTCAGTGTCATTAGTCTTAAAGAATACAGTGGATTCTTTTAAAAAGTAAATAAATACCCATACTGTACTGTGGTATTTACTTTCCCACTCTTTCCCTATATTTAGAATGTATACAGCAATGAGGTATTTATCCTATGCCATGGTAAATGTTTACTTTCAGTGGTGCCCACTGTACTTACTTTTCCATCTTTACTGAGCTTAAATTTTAGCACTTCTTTAATTTCAATATAGTCCAATTCCATATGATTATTTCTACCTTCCAACATATATGAACATCTCTCTTGTTGCTGTGGAATTTATGGTGCTGAAAAAATCTCCAGAGCAGTTAATTAGGGGTGAGATAAGAAAGGGTTTATTATGCCAAGGCAGTAGATGTTACAAGACGTGCGCCCCTGTGCCCGAGAGGTTACATTTTATAATATCATCCACCCAATCCCAAATGTGTCCACCCTGTGGCCTTTACTCTGGACCGCCCCGGGTCCACCCCTGAGAAATGGGTCTGGGATGCATTTCGGGACCACCTACTTCATCACCTTCACCATCATCAGAGCACAAAGGGTACATAGTTACCTAATTTTTGACTGTGTTCTGTGGTTTAGGTCCTGATACGCTGTTCTGCCAACAATCTAGGCCTTGCCTTGACAAAAGACTAAACATTTCTGCTGTATTCAGGGTAGGAGTGATATAGGGAGCATAGAATGGGGTAAGAGGGTTAAGGAATGTGCAAACAAGGGTGCTACAGGGAAAGGGATGCAAGGGATGCTGCTTTTAGAGTCTACCTATAAAACTTACAAGGCTTACCAATATTAGAAAAATAAAAAAACCATTAGGGGCTTAAGGCATCACTCTCCAATTAAAATGTTATCACTGAGTATTTTTTATTAATAATAATTTTAATGGAAAATGGTTTTTGAGCTCCTGGACTTTGCAGTTATGTTGCAACACCATTTGGTGTAATTGGTGGACTTGTATGCTGGTGCAGCTTGGGTGAGAATACGCTCTTTTGATTTAACACTTGCACAACACGATTGGTGGGATTCGTCTCAACAAGCTTTTGATGTCTGTGCTGTAAATGTCTGCATTTGAGCCGGTCTCCTTATAATTAGTAGAGAAAAATGAGAATTGTCAACACACAGTTTATCTTGGTTAAAGGTGGGTAGCTAAAATTATCTCCCTCCATAGATGCTTATTGGTCTGTGTAACTGCAAAGATAATTTGGATGATTATCTCAGATGTTGGTATCTAATTTAAGACTGTTTAAATTCAGGGGAGGTTAATCCCACCCCATGTAATTCATTTGGCTCTTGATGAATTTTAGTTTAAGCTTTGGTAACCTTAACAAAACATCAGTTCCTCCATAAGGAAGCAGAACATTGATTTCAGTCTACCTGCTACTTGAACCCCGTGTTTACAGTTTAAATACCCCAGTTTTTAGTCCAGTCTGTGAAGTTAAACTAGCAGTAGTTGTGGCTTATTTTAATGTCATCTGTTGTAAACTAGAAGCAGTCATAAGATCCATATTGTATGTAACATCATATCACTGCTGCAAAACGTAACCTCCTGGGGTAGAGGTACAGTTGGCAGCTGGAGGCAGTAACTGCTTCTGTGGTTCACTTTAACCTGCCACCTGAGTTTTAGCTTCAGCCGGTGTGGTGTATTAGAACATTTGTGAAACGCTGATAGTGGCATATCTGCGTGAGTGTCTTTGATTGTGCACTAGGTTTTAACAGGATTCTGATGAAAGTAATGGTTGTGTTGGCAAGTGTTGTGGTGCAATCGGAACACATTTGTAGAGTAAAAGAATTGATGCTGAGAACCTGACATTCTTGGTGTCTGCATTTCAGGGGGGCTTATTTTGAGCTAGTTCTTTCTGTGTAGATTGAATACCCATGAACAGCTGCAAAGTGCACTCCTGGAGCACAACTACTGATACTATATTTGGAAAGAATCCAGTTTGTACTCCAGGAGTGCTCTGTTGTACACATTAATTTGGAGTGATCAGGATTTTAATTTCAAAAGCACATTGCTGATCCAAATTTTAAAAAAGAAAACCTGCAAAACTAATCCACTTTGAATTCAGTCATGGTGATATTGCAAGCCAGCCTAAATGATCAGGTTCATTTTCTGAATGCTTGTGTCATGAAAAAAAATATTTTAGATAGTAGATCTGTGTGAACTCTAAGAAATGCAGCAGAAACGGCATTAATAATCATGATACTCAGATGATACAAAAGTTGTTTTCCAAAGCTGAAATAGGAAGACACTGAAAAAGTATACAACCCTTGTGAGACTGTAAGGCTAAAGTATGCAGAACTGAAAGTTTTCTTCTCTTACTGTAAAATAGATACTTACAGGGGTTGGTAAGTTTAGTTCCTGCTCTACATAGTTGGTCAAATATAAGTTTGAAATAAATAGGAGTTTTATTGTGTAGGTATAATGTTTTGGATAGCAGAAGCATCTGAGATATGGACCAGGCAATCTTGTCAGTGGTAGGCTCTTCAGAGTGGATGATGAAATCAAGCCTAGAGCAGTAGTGAGCCTTGAACTGAGTGGTTTTGTGTGTGAATGAATTATACCATCACAACAATGATACATTAAAAGTTAATGTAGACCATATTTGTCACGCAGGAGTAGACAAGTATAAAAGGGAAGCAGTTACGTCAGTAACTTTCTACAGAGAAAGATAAGTCTCTTTGGATCTTTAAAGAGGTAAGATAATGGGATCAAGTTTTCACAGACTGAAATTTTATATTTCGATGGTTGATCACTTGTTCTTTCCTGTAGCTTTGGTGAACAATTATTTATGTTTGCAGATGGCTAGAAAGCAACTGAAGCAAAGGCCATCTTGAAAGTTTTACTCGGAAAATGTAGTTTATGAGCCAGAAAGCTGTATTTGTCGTGATAACTCAGTATTCAATAGTACCATGAAAGAAACTATGACCCGGATCGATTGAGGAGCACAAAATGATACAGCATATACCATTTTCTTAGACTTTTCTTGTATTGATTTGCAAATGTCTTGCCCTCTTTTTTCTTCAAAGCAGAGAAGTACAACATGAATTTCTTAAGTTAGGTGCTGTTGCGAGCTTGCTCTACATGAGAGGGAGGGAAAGAGAGGTACATAACTTGGTAGCTACAACCAATTTGACATGATCACTGAGGAACAAGAGGAAAAAAACCCTCTGTAGTTCCTTCCTGTTTCTGCAATAGCAGTGTGTCTTCCCATTGCTAGGTAACATCTTTTGGTCTTTATAATTGACATCAGTGAGTGGTCTTCTCTTGAAAGTAAAAGTGAGATTTGAAAAGTGGAAGAACATTTTTCAATTTAAGACATACTAGCAACTCCTTTTAGGAATAGCTTCAAGTAGGTTTATGTTGCTGAACAGTTTGTGATATTTTCAGTGCCTATTTCAGTGTAGAAAGCCAACCCTGATGATGATTCCTTATATAAAAGGTAGACCTCATGTAGTTTTCCAGCAATGTGAGGAGCACTTTTTCTTGATAAACAGGTTGAATTACCTTGCATGTAGTGTCAAACAATTGCCAGTGAAAATGCTTGTCAGACCTGGGAATCAGCTGCCTAGTTGCACTTCCATCTTCTTGTGCTCCCATTACTACCCTGTATTTACCAAAGAAATCTGACAGTGCAAAGACATTGAAACCTGGTCATGTACACACCTACATTTCAAAAGATCATAGTAACCCTTTTTATGAAAACAAGCAACTTTCTGTATTTTTAAGTAACGGTGTTTGAAGATTTAATTCATCCTTTATCAAACAGAAGGATCTTGCCTATAGTTATGCAGAGAATTCTTTTAAACTTTGCTATTTGTTTCAAAGAGTTGTTTTAGAAGTGCCTGTGGTGTAAATCTGTGAAGTACCAACTACTGCTGAGTACTGTGGAAGAACCTTCTGAATTAAGCTTAAAGCTTTGGAATTAGGTCAGCTCAGTATATAGTAGCCAGGTTTGAATATCACTATTGTAACTAAAGTATGAGAAATGCTTACTTTTGGTAGGATGTAAAATAACTGTGTTGCTGTGACTCTTCATATTCTTCCGTTTTTATTCTAGCTTCTTTTAAAGGGCCAAGCATTTTGACATTTTAAAGTTCACTAATTAATTTTTATATTTGTTTAAAGTTCTTCATTGTGTAACTTACTCTGAATGAAGATTTTTACATGTTTTTTTGTAGATCTTTCCTTATATATTTACTTTCCTCCATTTATCTCTTTTCTTCCCTGCTTTAAGGAGGAAGGAAACACTGGGAGAACAAAAACCTTTTGAATTTTATGAAATGACACATGAAAACATAGGTGTTTAATCTTTTTTTGTATATGGAGATGCTTTCATTGTTTGAAGCCAAAAGCCATCATGTAAGTGAAACAAGGGAATGCTATTAAAAAGACAAGAATAACACTTTTATTCCAGTAAAGAGATATGTTTTAAATACTTGTGCAGATTATTTTACATGTTTTTTCTTTTAGCCTGCTATGTGAGCAAGCACAGAATGAAAATGTAAACGCATTACATTTAATGCTCATCTGACAGGATTGGTATGAAAAACCTTAAAATTAACAGTCTCTTAATCCTTAGAATTAAGATACGCAGTTTTTCTTCGTATAACTTCAATTAGAATAATAAATTTAGGGGGGGAAATTTGGATCTCCTGTTTTAATTACTGAAAGAGAAGGACAAAATTCAAGGTGGCATCACTAATATAAAGCAGCTTCTTCCTGTTCTTGATCCCATCCCTGAAGCAATAATTAGGGCACGTTAACAAAGAAGTAGAAAATCTTTCAAATTATTTAAGTTCCAACTACATGTAATTGTAGAAGTGACCTTGAAAAATACCTTTAAGCTATTCTTCTCTACATTAACTGTGATATGAGATTTCAGGCTGACACATTTCTTGTACAAGTTTTTAATTTGTTTTCAGAAATTTCATCCATGTTCATAATGTTATTAACACCTGTGTTAATAACAATTTTTGCATCACTGGACTAGTCAGATATAAATTTAAGATAAAGTTTTTCAAGTAATTGCTTCAGGGATTAGGATATCAGTTACAGAATCAGAAAACTGGTTAAGTTGGAAGGGACCACAGAGTGTCATTTGGTTCAATCTCCCTGCTCAAGCAGGATCATCCCCACTGATAAATAAGTTAAACAATACTGGGCCCATTATTAATCCTTTGGAGGACACCACTAATGACAGAACTCCAACTAGACCCCGTGCCACTGATTACAACTGTCTGGGATCTGCTGTTCAACGAGTTCTCAATTCACCTCACTGTCCACTTATCCAACCCACACTTCTTGGGTTTGCGTACGAGGATATTGTAAGAGACAGTGTTAAAAGCCTTGCTGAAATCAAGGTAGACAATATCCAGGGCTGTGCCCTCAGCCATCCAGGTAGTTATTTCATCACAGAAGGCAATCAAGTTGGTCAAGTGGGATTTACCTTTAGTGAATCCATACTGACTACTCCTAATCACCACCTTGTCATCCATGTGGATAGAGATGGCTTTGAGAATGGAGCACTCCATTACCTTTCCAGCTACTGAGGTGAGGCTGACCATTCTGTAGTTCCTTGGGTCCTCCTTGCACTTTCTGAAGACTTGAGGTGACATTTGCTTTCTTCCAGTCCTCAGGCACCTCTCCTGGTCTCCATGACCTCTCAAAGATGATTGTGAGCAGCCTCACTATGGTATGTACCAGGTCTCTCAGCACTTGTGGATGCATCCCGTCAGG